TAGGGGAGACCGGGGTTGGTTGTGACATTTTTTCTATAAAGTGTCTCAACTCTTTGATTATGTTGTTGTTATAAATGAATCTAGGCTTGCTAGATTCAGTAACTAATCAGGATTTAAATTTAATAATAATTTTATGTAACCGCCCATTAGAAATTACATAAATTAAAAAATTCTGAAAAAAGAGGCATGTAACTTTTTACCCCACACCAGGGGCTGGTTGTTACACCACACGGGGTAAATTGTTACAACAAAATAAAAATTAAGTAAAATTATGTTTTTATTTAAATAAAAACTTAGGCATACATTTTTTTGGTCTTTCTGCCTTATCAAAACAAAATAAAGATTAAATAAAATTATAGTTTTCTTTAAAACAAAAATACAAGTAACTTGTAATCTAAACGAAAATTATAAGCTCTATTAGAGAAACATCTTATTAAGAACCAACATAACATAAAACTTTGGCTATAAAAAAAAAATAATTATTTTAGAAAAACTATCAGATCTTAAAAACAACAGTTCAGTGACTTCAATCGGAATAATTACTATCGCAATTTAAACAAACATAGGATAGTATATTTCCTTTAGCACATTTCACATGTGACCATTTTTTACAAACAATACATTGCACCCATTTTTCACCAGCTCGACTCTGATCAAATGATTCACAACATATGAGGCAAAAATGATCATCCTCTACGCTATCTTCGTCAGATTTTTGCAATACCTTCCTCTTCACACTAATCTTTCTTTTCTTCTTAGCTGATTCTTCTCTCTTATTTGTATTTTCAGCCTTTCTCTTCTTAGTCACTTTAATTTTTTTGGATGTATTTTCCTTTTTCTTGCTTTGTTCCACTGCCAATGCTTCCTTCTCCGGCGTGTCAGTTAATATAGCTGATTTTCGAGTTTTTCGTGTTATCTTCTTTGTTCTAGCAGCAGCTTTTGGATAAGGTCGAATGATCTCAGGAGCAAAGGTAGATTCATCGTGGATCAAATCTCTGCTAGAACCTGCAACTGGGTTAGCACAAACAGAGCTCTCACATTCTTCTACGGCACCCACTTCAATATTATCTTCGGTAAATTCCAAAATAGGAGATGTAGTGTCATTCAAGGAGGCAGTTTGAGTCGGCGGAGATTGAGTCTTAGCGAAATGAATTGGAGTGTTCTCTGTTGTAACTGGGGTATTTTCAATATTTGAGCTAGCCGTGCCGTCTAGTGCTCTGTCAGTAACAAAAGCAGACAAGAAGTCATCATCCGAAAAAATATCTTTATTAAATGGTGCAATACCAGTCTTTTGAAATCCGTTGATGATATTAGTTGGTTTCAATGCCAAGGGTAAAGCTTTATTCACTATAGACGGAATATCGTGGATAGTCATTGTTTTACCCGGATGGTTTCTAAGCCAAGCATCTTGTTGGCTGGCATAGTAATTTTTAAATGGTCCATAGACCCCTACATCCAAGGGCTGAAGCTTATGAGAACAATGTGGTGGAAAGGACAGTAACACCACATTGTTTTTTTTAGCCATTTCAACAACTTCTATATCCAAGTGCGAAGAATGATTATCCAATAACAACAACACAGGATCAG